CATCTTCCAATGGATTAGACCATCTCCAACCATGGGAGGTCAAACCTAAAATTTGAGATTTTTAGCCCAAAACCTTCTCCAACCCATGTATTTGGAGGGGGGGGGGGGTAATTTGAGTGGACTGAAAAATGGGGTGGAATTTCGCCTCAGATTCCAGTCCAGGCAGAATTTTTGTCGGGCCCATTTCACAAAAGACAAGAGACACGTGAGGCCACATTTGAAGCAAATGATGGTCTGTTGCCCACTACCCCAAGTTGGTGGCCACTTGTCAAAGCCTAGGCAACTTAAAAATTGGACTTCTATGGCTGCATTTAAAATGGGCTTCTTTCGATTTTTTTTTTCAAACCTAAAGGCTAGAAATCAACGGTTGATATTAAATTTTGGCTGGATCAAAGGGAAAAAAATTAATCCAACAGTTGAAATTTAAATCCAAAGGTCAAAATAAGTAAATATATTATTATAAGTTGGATGCAACCTCAAAACATATCCTAAACTCTATAAATACCCATCAATTTGTTAGTAAAATTATGTTTGTGAAATTTCAAAAAATTTATGTCAAAATGTTCAAAAAAATAAATCACGAAGTAATATGCAAAAATTAATTTTAAAAAAATTAACCACAAAAACAAAATAGGATTATATTATTCTTTAATAATTTAATAAAGTTGCGGACTCAAATTATGAGTCTGCAAGGTTGGAGGAAAAAACAGTTTGAGTCCTAAAAATACATGAATAATTGTATTTTGGAGGATGAAAATTTGAGTTTAGCCCCAACATAGTTGGAGATGGTCTTACTAGGCAAATGTTATAGATAGAAACAGTGAGAAATGAGTTTAGCATTCAGACGTCAGGAACTCGTGATGGATTAAGTGGCAGAAGGGTATTATGGTAATATCAATTTCTGAAGTTGCGAAAAGGGTTATGAAATTTGGTCCTATCCATGCCGCAAAAAAAATAATTATATATATATATATATATATAAAAGCTTATCCAAAATAATAGGCAAACAGCATCAGCACACCATAAACGTGTTTGATCATCACTATTCATGGAAAAAATGAGAAGCTGCGGCGTGCTCTGTTGGTGGCTTTTCTATGGACCATCGTCGAAACTTCTCTTAGAGGCAAGTCGTTGACAAGGATTGCTCGAGTCCATTCACCATCAAAATGTATGGTCTACGACCTCTAATCCGAATAGTAAAAGATAAATTTTAGAATTTAGAATTTTTTTGAGTAATTACAATTTTGGTCAGTAGGGTTACGGTTGAATTTAATTTTGGTCACCCAACTTTCAATTTTCTGATTTTGGTCATCACACTATGCATCGTCAGTAATCAAGTCCAATTGGAGTATTCCGTCAGTTTCAACGCACGTGTTGTGCGCGTACAAGAGGGGCAATATTGCCCTTTCACCCCAAACCAGCTCTCTCTCCTCCTCTTTACAACTTCTTAACCCAGCAAGAAACAAAGTTTGAGCTTAAAGGAGGCGAATTGGAGAAAAATACAAGAAATTTCTATTTTTGTTTGAGGTGAAAATAAATGCTTTATCTCAACTGCATGTGCGTATTAAACAGATGAGCCTAGATTTCAAATTCGACGACAGGGTGGGTCTTCGTGGATCCGGTGACGAGGCCAACTTTTTTTTTGTAATTTATTTGAGTGATTCGATTGTTTTTGTGGTCGTTTGGGTATTAGGAGGTGGTGAGGAAGGGATGCAAGGCTTTGAAGAAGTGCGATGAAATGATGAACAAGCTCGGCTTGTTCTCAAGACCAAGGAGGATATCAGCACTACCAATCTCAAATATCTTCTGGGTTTCACAAATGCCGGCCACCTTATCATTCATGCAAAAACCCCTAACTTTAATTCTTGAATCTTAGTTTTTGACCCCAAAAAAAAATCTGGAATTTGGTATAGGGGTGTGAGGAAAGAAGAGGGAGAGAGAGAGAGAGAGAGAGAGAGAGAGAGAGAGAGAACCGTAGGTTTAGGGGTGAAAGGGCAATATTGCCCATGGACACACGTATCACGTGCGTTGAAAACTGATAGATTCGACTCCAACCACAGTGACCAAAGTTAAAAAGGGGAGGGGGGAAAACTCACACGCACGGATACCATGAAAACTTGAACTGATGACCACTTAGGAACACATCGAAAGTCTATGCCAATCCAACTATAACACCCTATTAATAATTCAAGGTATCTTTGGTTAGCTCATTTTTGTTTATTCAAATTGGATTAACACAAAAACAACAATGAAAAACAAAGCTCACCAATTCAGCTTGAACTTTTATATACTGCTCGTAACAAATGTGTGAGTCTTGCATTTTTTATATATCTCAAAGTATTATATGACCGTTTAGGAGTGTTTATGCACATAACACTTATGTTCATGAGTATTTTTATTGGAAGTATAATAAAATCTTATTAGGAAAAAAGTCACTTTTTATTCATGTGGTTTGTTAGTTTTACTACTCTTGTGCCAATAGTTTCAATTTTATCCATGTAGTTTTCATATCCTAACATGTTAAATTCCTTTGAATTCTGTTACGTTTTGAACACATTCTCCTGCAGATTGTAACAAGCCTCTTCAAATATGCATATTCATAATGTAACGCCATAAGTTCATAAAGCAAACACATTAATAACATATATTTAACAAAAATATTATAAAATTAAATGAAAACACAAAATTTTAGAATTTTGTATGATCAAATCATTATCTGTATTTTGTATGATCAAATCATTATTCACAGAAGTTACAATTTCGTTGAAAAACTATTTTAATAAGTCAAATTTGCCAACGAGGTATGCCCTAGTGGAAAATAGCCTTGGTTTGCAAATCAGTGGTTTCAGATTCGAATGTGTGAGAAATCCCTCTTTTCCTTATAATTTAGACTATTATTGCGTGTATCAATCAAACCCAACCCAACCTAACTTGACCCAGACCCGAGAACAACCCACCCGACCCACCGCATAAATATCATCGATCGAGACCAATCCATTAGGGGTGGGCATCTAAAACCGAAATACCGAAACCGTACACTAATCATACTGTATCATACCAATTTCATACCGTTTTATTTGAGATGTGGAGATATTCGGTACCGTACCATACCGTACCAATAAAGTATGGTATGGTAGCAGTATCAAGTATTTGGTACCGATCAATACCGTACCGTACCGAATACTGAAATATAATATATATATATATTTTCATTCTTTCATGGTCTCTTGCCTAAAAAAATTCTCCTTTAGATTCTACTTATGTTAAACTGTTTAGCCTTACAGACATGCACTTTACGTACATGTGCATATGACTTGCAATGTGAGCTTCACTTTCTTGAACAGTACATCTTGAGTTGCATTTTCCACGTAATCACGACTATAGAATTTGTTTAGTAGTAATTTGACATTTAAATGCCAACTACAAATGAAGTTTGGATTGCACAACTTTATGTTTTTGTCATTTATGTTTGGATTGTGTTTGTAATTTTGTAAGCCATAAGGCATAATTTTAACTATTTTGGTTTGTAAGCCATAATGCATGAGTTTTAACAATTTGTATTTGATGAATCTGTTGATGGATATTGATTTGGTTGATTTGGATATTGAATATGTTGATGGATATTGAATATGTTGATTAGGATTTGGATATTAAATATATTAATTTTGGTACCGAAATGGTACCGATACCGTACTGATACCGATTGGCACGGTATGATATGATACCAACTTTGTCAAACGATAATTTCATACCGTATCATACTAATTTTAATTTCCAATATCGATATCGATACGAGCTCAATACCGTATTGTACCGTACACTGGCGGATCCAGAAATTTTTTAGCAGAGGTGCAATATTGACTAAGTATGAAAATGGTTTTTTAGAATAATCATTTTCTCAAGATAATTTTTGGCGGCTTTTATTCCTTATACATCAAATAAGAAAACTTGATTTTATGGGATTTTAGTATAAAGTATATATTGACTTAATGAGCCATCATTTTTAGCAAAAATCGTATTTTGCACTAAAACCGAATTTTCATATTTTTATTTGGTGGGAATTTGATTTTCTAGTATTTTTATTTGAATCCAAATGAGGAGTACTTCCTTATTTACATTGTAAACTTAAGTAAATGGAGTAATATCCTTATAAATTACAATCCATGCAATGCTGGCAAGGAAGAAACCGATGCTAAATAATTATGCACACCGCGCACCTTACCTCTATGCGCCACATAAATCCCACCGTGAAAAACCGAAAGGAAATTTCGCGGGTCCACGTAACGAAATAAAATCCAAAACGCTACACTTTGATTTGACCACGCTATCAGGCGAAGCCGTGTAGAGTTTACCAACACCCAGCCATTTTGGGCTTGCCTTCCTCACAGTGCCCCCACCTCTCTCTCTCTCTCTCTATATCAAACCCGGTTTCCTCTACAGGAAAGTTTAGTGAGAGAGTTTGGGAATTTATCCTCTGCTTTGCTCCATTAGGTAACACTTAATACTTTCCTTGTTAATTTTTGGTTTTGGTTCCTTAGAAATCAGAATTTGTAGTAATTTTTAATTTTGAAAAATCTTGATCCTCTGACCTTGTTCAACTAAAGCCGTACTTATTTCTCAGTTTTTCATATTATTTTAATTTTTAAAAACTTTTTGCATATTAATTTTTTTTATAAATATTTTATTTTCATGATGGGTTCTCTTCTTAAAAAGCGTAAAAAAATTTAGTGAGTTATCTAAAAATCGTTCTGCTGCTTTAGTTGTTAGTTATAAATCGATTTATTTATTTGTTTGTTTGTATACAGATTTCAATATGAACTGAGAATTTGAAGTTTTAGTGTGACAGGTGCTGTACATAATTGGTGCATATAGTCTGAGACCCATAATTTGAAGACAGTGTGTTATTAGGTTCAAAAGTGTAATCTGATTTTCAACTGCATTACCATATTGTGCACAAAGTTGCAGCTTTGCTTCAGTTTGAGTTTGAGAATCAATCAACCATGCCTCATACTGCTTCTGTGCGGTTGTTATATGAATGGAGAAGTCACAGTAATCGTCGATGCCATAATCCAGATGCTGTATGTGAGATTTCTTTGTAGTCCTTTTCATAAAATCTTCTTGCCCAAGAGTTTACTTTTTCTGGAGTACTAATTGAATTCTTTGTTTTTTGTTTTTTTGTTTTTGTTTTGTTTTTGAATTTCACAGTGCCTTGTAGGAAAGGGTCGAGTACATATGGTCGGAATCAATTTTCCGCCACATGTTTTGGTATGGTTTCATGGCTTCACTTTTATGCTTTATTTTATTATAATTTTTTTTCAATTGCTGGTCTATGATTTGGTATGAGTTCTTATACAGAATTGTCACTGGGTTTCTGGGTTTTTGTTTTGTTAATTGTTTATTTCCGTTTCCCTTTATGGCATTGTTGTCTGTGCTCTAGTGTTATAAAAATTTGCTCATCGTCCTTCATTTCGTGTTTTTGTCAGGTTCATGGTTCTAGTGTAGCATATTACAATATGCTCTGGATGTTTGTGTGTGTGTGTAACCTGATGAGATTGTTATTATGTAGATCTGAGCTCATGGATTTATTTATTTATTTACTTTTTAATTGTCAGCGACAGGGTGCCTGCAGTCTCAATCTTTTAAGCAGTATTCGTGGCCCAATAGGTCCAGTATCTTCCAGATGCAATGTTTTCTTGTGCAGATCTGTTTTAGTACCAGGTGGAGGAAATGGGGTTCCCCTTCTGAAATCTGCTGCTGTAGTTTTAACAAGGTAGGTATATGCGTTCCCTTTTGAATTACTAGGGTTTTTTTTTCCTTAGACAGCTGCACACGCCAGCATATAAGTTGTGTTCTTTTTCTTGGGTATTCCTTTCCATTTATTGGGGGGCAATTGCTTCATCATGTTTTCTCTCTCATTATTATATAAATGTTTGGTATCTAAAGAAATTTTTGTTTTCAACATATTATGCAGGTCTTATGATGCTTTACGTGGAAGCCCTGTTTTACTTAAATTGATCCCAGCAGTTGCTATCATAGCTTTTGCTGTTTGGGGTCTTGGGCCACTTTTGCGTCTTGGCAGGATTATATTTCTTCAAGTATATAATTTGTTATTCTTCTGCCATTCCTTGCCTTTAGACATGGTTTGATTATGTTATTGAGCTGATTAATTCTTCCATGTTGATTATCTGCAGCGGAACGATAGTACTTGGAATAAAAGTAGGTCACACTATGTCATGAATTCTTACCTCCGGCCCTTGCTTCTGTGGACTGGAGCAACACTTATGTGCAGGTTTACTTCTACATTACAAGAAGTTAGATTCAAATTACAAGTCAGGGAATGAAAATGATTTTAGAGTCACTATTTACCTATCTTAACTGGAAACTTGTTTCCAGCCATTTTATCTGCACTAACTGCTGCAACGTTTATTTCAGAGCATTAGATCCTGTAGTCCTACCTTCAGAAGCTAGCCAGGCTGTCAAGCAACGTCTTATAAATTTTGTACAATCATTATCAACAGTGCTGGCATTTGCCTATTGTTTGTCAAGGTGAGTGTAGCTCTGGTGCTATTATGCCTTAAGATATTTATTTCATTATTCTGTTGGTCAACTAATAGATTGGTCTGTAATGAATTGAATTTTTAGATTTATTCATTTCAGAACTTGTCAAGCAACTTCTTATGTTAGTTAGAATTAATTTGAACATTGAGAATGCCCAAATGCCTGGTTTGAACAAGTTTATTTCTTCTGCCAGGACATAGTTCATTTCATTTTTTTGGTATAGTTTTTCCTTTTGGTGCTATGCTCTCTATGATTTTCTTTTTGCCCTCACTTGTCCTGTAATCACTGTTTCAATACATTTATCCAGTAGTCACTGCATTGGGGTTGAAATTTTGATTTTCTATTGTTACACTTTTTCTTTGCAGCTTGAATCAACAAGCACAAAAGTTCTTTACGGAGACAAGTGACCCAAGTGATTCGAGAAATGTATGTTTCTGTTACTAGTTCACATATTATATTTTCATTACTTTGTATGCATTCTGTCGCCTTTATACTTGTGTTATAAAATTGTCATTAGTACTCACGCAAATAATTAAAATAAAATAAACTAACTATAACCAGTCCTGATTAATGTTTCGATGAAATGGGCCTCATCTACGTTAGCTTCTTTACTGCTTCTTTTGACCTCATTGAAATAGATTGTAGCATAGTTTTCCTTTTCCAACCAAGTTTCTGTTATTGTGAGATATTATGTCATTGTGCAATAATGTAGCTGTCATGAGGGCACTTGTAGCATATAAGATTATTGCATCCTTACATAATTGTCTCTTGTTGGGGCAGATGGGCTTCAATTTCGCTGGCAAGGCTGTTTATTCTGCAGTTTGGGTTGCTGCAGTATCATTGTTCATGGAGCTGCTGGGATTCTCAACCCAGAAATGGCTAACAGCTGGTGGTCTTGGCACAGTATTGCTCACCCTTGCTGGTCGCGAGGTACAGATCTTTCTTCATGTGATATTGTAAATTGAACAGGCTGCAGTTTATTGATCATAACAAATTCTGATTGTCCATGTGTATACTTTCAAATTCTGTTAAGACATATAATTTCCTTTTAAGGTTTTCTGACTACATGTACCTTAATATTGTCTGAACTCAGATATTCACAAACTTCCTTTCAAGTGTAATGATCCATGCCACACGACCATTTGTTGTTAATGAATGGATTCAGACTAAGATTGAAGGCTATGAAGTTTCTGGTACTGTTGAGGTTTGTATTTATCTTTGCTAATACATCAAGTGCAACAGTGGTTAGAAGGAAAAAACATAATGCCTACCCATGAATACCTTTGATGGCTTCCACCTTAAACATAATAGGGCTTTAACAATTTGGATCCTTTTGCAAAACAAATACTGGAAGTGAATTTTTTATAAGCAATATGGACATTTTATTTTATTTTTGATAAATTTGTTATTGTACCAGCATGTGGGTTGGTGGTCACCAACAATTATAAGAGGCGATGATCGCGAAGCAGTTCACATTCCAAATCACAAGTTCACTGTAAACGTTGTCAGGAATCTTAGCCAGAAGACTCATTGGCGCATTAAGACCCACCTAGCCATAAGTCACTTGGATGTCATTAAAATTAACGTGAGTAGAAATTTCAGTTCACTAGCTTGCGAAACTTGTGCTCCAAGGACTTTGTGTTTTTTATATCATTTCATATGAGAACCTGGTTTATCCCTTTCTATCTGCAGACTATTGTAGCTGATATGCGCAAGGTTTTGGCCAAAAATTCTCAAGTAGAGCAGCAAAGGTTGCATAGGAGAGTTTTTCTGGACAATATTAATCCAGATAATCAGGCCCTTATGGTATGGCTTTTGTGCTTTCACTTTTGAAGTTATTATTATTACTTTTTTATAAGTAGGTTTATAATGTTTCAATAGATGTTCCATTTGGCAAACAAATTTTAAGAAAAACCTTCTTCAAGTCCCTTGTAAAAACATTCTATTACTTTAAAAGTAATAAGTTGTTTTTACTTTCGAAATACATGATGGAAACTGTTGTGTATGTTTTTATGGTCTCGCAATTCTTCACTTTCATTCACAAGGTCTTCATAGAATAATGAAACTCATCTTTTGATTTTCCTATGGATGTACAATCTCCATATAATACGTCCCTCTTTTTGGTTTTCTTCTTCCTTTCTATTAAATTTTGTATTGAATGATTGTTCTCATAAGCGGTCTATTTTTGTCACAGATTTTGGTATCCTGCTTTGTTAAAACATCTCATTTTGAGGAGTATCTCTGTGTTAAGGTAAGACTACATTATTAATATAAGCTTTATGAAATCGTGTAACCTGCAAGATGATATGATAGATTCTGAAAATAGTATAAAATTTTGATCATCTTTGACTTAGATGCCAATATAAGTTTTCCAGAGATGCTGCATATAGTAAATGTAAAAGTCACACTTACTCACTCTAGTTCTCTGCCATATTGATTACAGTTGCATGATTGTTGGGATTTAATGCTCAGATTTATTTTGTATAATGGTAATGCCATAACCTTGTTTGGATATTCTATTCTTCACTCTTCCCTTCCAATACATTGTTTCTTGATGAACCTTTAGTCTGGCTTATAGATTGTTCATGTTGAACAAGATAATTTTGTCTTTTCTTGGCATTTCCTTTTTCATTGGAGGGAAAAGTTGAGCAATTTATAAAGACTGATTGCCATTTTAAGATTGGTTCACAAGTTACTCAAAGAATCAGTTTTACCTTTTTCATACCGGACTTTTGATGTGGATTGTATAATTTGTGTTGTTTACTATTACTAAGGTTTCCAAGTGTCTCTATGCCTGAACTTTGTAGTTGTTTATGGATATCACAATTCTGTTTACTTTCTCAATGTTAATTATAGTCTTTGAGAAACGGTTGAATATTTATCTCAGATAAACTCTATTGATGAAATAAAACAGGAGGCAATACTTTTGGATCTTCTCAGAGTTGTCAGCCATCATCGTGCCCGGCTTGCCACACCCATTCGCACAGTCCAGAAATATTACAGTGAGGCTGCTGACTTGGAAAATGTGCCATTTGATGACACCATTTTCACTCGTTCTAGGGCATCCAATAATCGTCCATATCTACTTATTGAACCATCTTATAAAATCAGTAGTGATGACAAAAGTAAAGCTTCAAGTCGCCCAACACGTACAAATGGAGACAAACAGGCCCAGGCTGAAGCTTCCTCAACATCCGACTCCAAGGGATCAGATGCTAAAGCTGGGGCAACACTAACTCATGCACAAACTGACAATAAAGTTGCAGCAACTTCAAGTTCCAACTCAAGCACAAACTCCAAGATCTCGGAAATGCCAACATCTGAACCCCAAACATGGAATTCGGCATCTGATGGTTCAGTTCGAAGCAACTCTGAAATGCTGCAGTCCAAGAATGAGAGTACAAAAAATGCAGGGAAAGAGACAACAGGAGTTGATTCCAGAGATGCATCTCCACCAAAGGTGACGTCTAAGAAATCCCTTGTTGCTTCGCCTGAGACTGGTAGCGAAAAAGCAGATGTTCCTCTGGCACCTTTACAGGCAAAGCTTGATGGTGAGAAACCTGTTTCATCACCATCCATAGCTAGGCCTCCTTTAGAAGAGAATATTATCCTTGGTGTTGCTTTGGAGGGCTCAAAGCGAACACTTCCAATTGAGGAAGAAGACATGGCTCCATCTGCTGCAGAATCAAAAGAACTCACTGCCCGCCGAAATGGTGGAGGGTCTCCTCCTGTTGGCACAGATGTGAAAGATGGTTAATTTGCCTGCAGTTCCTAGAGCCGTGCAAACTGAATAGCAGTACCACGAAGGCTACGTCGTTAGTCGTTATAGTGTAACACAGTTATTGATTGACGTGTAAAAATGCATGCCGCTGAGTTTTTGAAGCTGGCATTACATTGTCTTCTACGATTGCTTGATAATTTGTCGAAATGGAAATTTGTGGGTCAATCTGAAACGACCAGTTTCTCCCATCCCTGAAAGTGAAAACTGAAAAGCTCAAAAAAAAGAAAAGAAAAGGGGGGTGTAGAAAACGCATTAACACATATGTTTGATGTGTGATTGCAAATTTCGCCTCTTTACTTGAATTGGAAAGATCGTTTCATTATTGAGCAATGTTTAGATGTCATATGTTAAAACGTGTAATTAACGTGGCCTCATCCAAGCAGAATGGCCTTTGCTTTGGTTAGTGGGAAATGGGGATTGAGAATGGGGATCTCCCATGTTTGGTAAGCCCATGCATGGGAAATGGTTGCCTGGTATATGAGAAAATAGGGAGGAAAATGAAACCATCCACCCTCCTTGAGTTTCATTTTTCCTTCCCATGGAAAACTTAGGCCAACATTAAATGTAAGGGTAGGCACAATTTCGAGTCAACCCAACCGAACCTCTTAACTCGATCATAGTGGGTTGGGTTGACTTAAAAATGAGCGATTTTTGGTTCAAAAAAATCATAAGCCGCTATGCATAGGTTGGGTTATGAGTTGAAATCAAAACTTAAAAATATGCTTAATTTTGAGTTAACCTAATTGAACCGCCCAACCTGATCACAAAAAGTTTGGATTGGATTGAGTTGGTCTAATAATGAATGGTTTTGAGTTCAAGAAATCATAAACCACTATATATCAGGTTGGGTTACGAGTTGGGACTAAAATCAACCCAACCCAACTCATGCCCACCCCTATTTAAATGCACTTTTTTCATGATCATTTTATCCCTATTAACAATTTAAAATTACGATATATCATTAAATGCATTCTTTTTTTAATTTTATCTAATATGGGTATAATTTAAAAATTAAACAAATTTTTTTTTTTCACATTCCTAGGCAAATCAAACATGGAAAAGGAATTTTTCATTTCCTATACATTCGGAAAAGATATGAGAAATTATTTCCCATCAAATCCTTTCTGTGAACCAAACGACGAGGCCTATGAGAGTTGGTTTGTGTCCCGCAGAGGCCTTGTAAGTATTGCATTTTTCTTTTGGTTGCTAAGGAGGTAAAAATTCTTGGAAGTGGGGAGGGAGAAGAAGAGGCATACAACAGCTTGGATTAAATGCTTGAAGCTTAAATTCACCATATTAAACTGAAATAGTCAAGCACTTGGGATTACCCCAAGCTTAAATTCATCATATTACCTTGCATTGTGACCAAAAATGAAAAAGAGGAAAAGTGTGGGTTTGTCATTCTATTGGTGAGAATCAATGCTTGTCCTACAGGCTGATATGCATTGAAAGCAGACTATACACTTACGAGCTCAAATGAAGCCTATACAGCAATGAGACTGGATAACTCCAATACTCACAAGTAGCTGACCTACAAAAATTACTTGCCAATAATGACAGACGTTCAAAGCAAAACCACAGCCTCCGAAATCGATTTCAATTAAGCTTGACACATGCAATCAGGAGCAGGATATGTATATATGGACTGCTTCTCCTTCCTCAACCTAATCTGCCCTTGTCTACTTTTATGCCCATCCAGAACTGCATGTTGGAACTCTGACCATTCCATGCTCTTATTCACGAAAAGCTTTCCCAACAATGACATGCTTGGTCTAATAGTCTTCAAGTTCATGTAAGCGCGATGGCCGACCTGAGGATACAAATTTTAATCCTGTCCACTTAGAATTTTCACAAATTTTCAAGGAAATAATTCTTCTGCTGAAATACCTGATTTTATAATAATAGGCTATTTAGGGAATTCCTATATTCACTATATTTCACTACAACCACAGATTTGATGAAGTAGATAATCTGGTTTACTCCCCCACCATCTTAAAGAAGACACATATCTACCGAGGTAGATACTCTTACCAGTGCATTGTGCATATTCCCGGGAGAAGCAGAGATGAAGATGTCACTTTGCATGCTCACATAATAGTCAACTGCGGCTAATAGAGAAGCCTTGCCTTCAACTTTGGCCCTTTCCTCTGCAGAGGCAAGACTCTTCTTGTCTTCCATTAGTGGAAATAATCTTCTCAAAGTTGAGATCCTTGCTTCTCCGCCATAAACCTGAACAAGGAAAATAGTGACTCGTTTATCCAATTTAAACCCATAACTGAACACACAGTATCAACATTTACTGAAAAGGAACCTAAGGAATCACATGAAACACTTGGGGCTTATTTGTCAATGTGTTTGCTTTTGTTTAATTGAAGAGAAAGAGGGAAAGCTATGAGAGAAAGAAGAGAGGGGATGAAAATGAGAGGGAAGAAGGAGAATACCTAACTAAAGCTGTTTTAAGTTTTGTTTTATAAATCTTTCAATATATTTCACCTCTCTTTATCTCTCTCTTTGAACTTTCGTCGTTATTCCCTTCTCTATCTTTAATTAAAACAAAAAACAAAAACAAACCAGTAATAAACAAGCCCCTAGCTGTTAGCTCATGAATAACAGTATAGACATTCTGCTTTTAAGACATACCATGTGAGAAGCAAGATAGAGCCGGGTACTATTGTTGAAGCCCAAAGCTGCTAGCAGCAACCCAATCTCTTCAGGAGTCAATGGGCAACGCCCCTGATTTCTCAACTCCTCATCTGTAAACTGAGATTTTAGAACCCTACCCTGCCAAATTACTTGCCGATATTTTGCAAGGGCGAGTTTCTCAGCTTTACCACCACCAAAATCACAGGCTGAATGAGCAGCCATATCCTATGAGTATGTGCAGGCAAAGAGTATTAGAAAATACTAACTTTGCATATATAGTCGGAAAAGCTTTAAGATTCTTAAAAAATTATTGCATGATCAAACATGACATGGATCTAAAGAAAATTAAGAACATACTTTATCAAAGCGAAGATGCAAAACAACAAATTTCCCAGCTCCCTGTTTCTCAATTTGATTTGTTCCGTCCTGTGAGTCACTTGCTGCGCCTTGGTTTCTATTAGGAGGGTAGCGGAGACGATTAACAAGGGTTTTCTCCCAATTCCCTGATATGAGGAACAAAGGCTAAAGCTTGAAAGTTGACTTTACAACGGAGGCGCTGGATGCTTTTAGGTAAGTTCTCAAAAGTCAAACGATGAGAAAATGGGGAAATAGCAGCAACTCCGTATCTGCATCAGTGAAACACCTTCCAATCATAATAAGATATTAATTTCAAATTTATTTTAAAAAAGAAACCTATTGTCATGATTCTAGCGAGACATATGCACATACATAAGATTGATAACTCAAGTTGTACAGAGAAGATAATTGAAAATAAACCCAAAAGGATATTTTCAGTCTAAAACTGGATAACCATTAAAATCCTAAAACTAGAGATGCAATACATAATCTAACTTGAAAAGCTGGTGGCTTGACATGTAAAGACACAAAGACGTCTGTGATGCACTAATTCTAAGTTCTAACTATATGCTATACGCATTAACCAAACAACTTATTTCCCAAAGCTATGTCCATAGCATCATAATATTATCATTCCTAAATATTTTTTGTTATGACAACTTATCGCTGCTATTTAATGGAACAAAAAAAAGGAAAAAAAAAGGGACAGATTATACAAGCTTCTAACACAAGCAATATCACAATCACAATTTTAAGAAATGAAACCTCTGCACAATCCATGCAGGCAGGAGACTAAATTGAAGGACAGACAGAATATGGACATGAGTATCTGATACTAAGACAGCATAGGGACAAGAGTTTATCTTGCAGATTTCTGTTTTTGCATGTGAAGTTAGCATATGACACTATGACAACATAGGGACAAAAGTTTACGATACCAACTTCACAGACAACAGAAAACTGCAAGAACAGGCTCAAGTGATTAAAAAAAAGCAAGAACTTTACGCTCAATTAAGAAAGGCTCGATGCATTACTGACCTCTGCAATATGGGCAAGACATTTTCCAGATACCAATCAGAAGAGGCATGGACAGGTGCTGTTTTTATTCTAGTAATCCGAATGCCAGTAGCATAATAATCCCTAGTGCTCCAAGAAAATTCACTAGGCAGGTCTTTAACTATAGAAACTTCATCGCGTAGGACTTCAATAAAGTGATCCAAATCAAAAATTTCCTCAAAGGAACTGCAAAAGCACATGGGGTTTCAAATCAATGGCTCCACTTTGGACAGAAATAATAAACTGTAGGAAAGGTTCCAGGTTAGCATACTCACGATATACCTCGAATCTTGCCACACAGGATTAACTTCAAGGTGTGGAACAACCAAAGTGGCATTCAAAATTTTGGCAACAGCAACTGCATCACAATTTTTTTTTTTTTTTTTTTTTTTTTTTTTTTTTTTTGAATCAGAATCAAAATAAATTAGACAATCTCATTTTGGACACCCAAATGGCTATAGTATCACAACAAGTAATCAAATCAAGTAAACGGGCATTCTTGTATAACTTCATTTTCTACAAGATACATTGCTTAGAAAGAATTTCCTTATAAAATTTAAAAACCCACCCCCATTTTCTGCTGGTTCAAGCCTCCATCAAGGAACACCTGAATATACCCAGTAGATCCTTTTGGTGTCACTGCAAGAAAATGAATAAAATTTCATCAGCTAACAATCAATTCAATGTCACATAAAATGTGGCCCGATCTTTAGCACTCACATGATAGACTTTTAGACTCTTCAAGACAACGTTTCCATCCTTGGTTGGGCAGTGGAGACCATAGCTTGCTCTGTTGCTCAACAGACTAAACAAATTCAAAAAGAATATGTTAATATATGTAAATAGATAAACTGTTTACACCAATTCTGAAAACAAATCACAAATCAAAGGAAAGAAAAGAAGGGACTGACAGATTGGAGAAGTAAAGCTGGATTTAGAAGATGCAAATGTCTGGCCTTTGGAGCATTCCACTCCTGCAAAATACCCATTGCAGTTTTATTAAGAATTAAGCATTTCCATTAACAACAACATCAAACTGTGAGAATGGTTGTTTGGGAAGGGACTTACTGAGAAGATGGAAGGAGAGGCACGGCCTAATGGGCCGAAGAGATTTGGGAAGAAGGCCGGAAAGAGGACCACCAAAAGGCCAGCTAAAGCGGCTCTCTGAGACTGGTTGGGATAGTAGTAGCCATAGTAGTCCTTGTGAAGCTTCATGGGTTCGTTTGAGTTTTGATTGGAAAACCCTAAACCTGCATATTCATTGCGTTTTCAGTTGTGTAGGGCAGCAGAGAAGAGAAGAGAAGCTCACTGTCGTCAATGGAGGTGACAACTATGAATCGGATCTAATTTTTACGGGAAAGAAAGGACGTATGGAAGTTATAATGTGAACGTCCTCATTCGATGAAATCGCATCGAAGCCATAGTTTTCTTTTCTTTTTTCTTTTTTTCTTTTTCCTTTTACTTTTCGCTAGTAAGAAGAAGTAAGTAATAAATATTTGGGTAATTTTCATTTTACTACGAGATTCTAGAATAAATCATAAAAGAAAAAAAAAAGTAAAATTATTTTAATTGATGTGGTTGTCCACTTTAACTGTCATATAAGGTGGTATAAGAATATGGTATACAAATATAGTAAGAGTAGCATTATTCTTTTACTATGTTCAGGTTTACCGAGTTTCAGCCTTCGATACATAAAGTTTTTTCTCGTCTCAGTCCCATACATAATGTTTATTTTTGTATCACTTTCATAAATTAGTTAGTTTGACCGTCATGTTCTCCGTTACATAATGGCGTGGACTCATTCATATTTTGTCATGTGGACTAATATGTTTAATTAATTAATTGTTCTTTGACAGTGTTGTTGTTTTCGTTTATTTATTCGCCTTTATGCACAAGTAGATCACTAGTAATTATATTTTCCCTAGATATGTTACGAATGCAATTGTGATTGTGACTGCAACGACATTTCTTCAGGTGGTGGTACTAGTAGAGTTCATTTAGGTTCATGGGTTGCTATAAGGTTTAGGGGGACACAACCCATGTGCGCAAACAATATGCATCCAAATTTATTGCAACTGAAAGTTATAAAATCAAAGAAACCATGATGTGAAAACAATTTTCTTTGTCCGAGCAAATATAATGCTAAAATCAACTTGTATCACTATTTTTCTGTTGGCTTAGCAAGAGCGAGAGAGAGCATACGATTGGGTGAAGATGGATGGGGAGGAAGAACGAGATTAGCCCTTGAACGTGTATCCCTAATTTAGGATAGATTACTCAAATGGTCCTCAAATTTATACTTAATTTATATTTTGGTCCCTCAATTAAATTAGAGAGTTTCACTAAAACACCTAAAATAAGAGCTGAAATTATAAAAAAAACCCCACATGGAATGCACTTTAGAAATACACCCAAAATCCATTTATTATATAAGAAATTGGTGTTGAAGTTCCTATAAATTACAGGACTACCACTGAAAAAAAACTCAAAAAACACCCAAAACAAGCCCAATCCAATTTTATAAAAAAGCCCAAATTTTTTTATTTTTATTTTTGGGTTACAAAAAGTCCAAAACATTTTATTACAACACATAACTGTCTCGAAAATAGTAACTTCAAGCACGTATCTTCATTAAACCATCTCAACAAAACATCTCTTCATTTCACCGTCTTCATCATTTATGCAAACTGAAACTCCATAACAACCACCAAGCTTGATCTACTTTCAAAAACCAACACCACACACTAACCTCCACCTGCAAAACAAAGATAAAATTTCAGAGAACAATTTCAACAAGAAAAGGCTTCAAAGGTAAGACATTTAAAAACCAAACCTTTATTGTAATGTTGATTAATTTCTGTAAAGTTCCAGTTTATGGTAATAACAGTATTTTATATTCGAATCCAAGACAAAATTTTGAAATTATATTGGATTTTCACTATTGGACTAACTGCATATGACTATAAAATAGTCAGTTTTCAGCAACTCAAAAAAGAAAGAGATATTTAGTCATATACTCATTCTTAATACTGCTAGTTTACTTTCATGTTGATTAATGGCTGTAAAGTTCCAGTATAGGGTAATAACACTGATTGTTTCCTCTAAAATCCTATTTTGAATGCATGTTTACCACCGTAAAGTTCCAGTATAGGGTAATAACACTGTTTGTTTCCAATGAAATCCTATTTTGAATGCAAAAGTTCCAGTACAGGGTAATAACACTTCTTTTTTCCTATGAAATTCTATTTCTAATGCATTTAACCATTGTAAAGTTCCAATATAGGGTAATAACACTACTAGATTCTTCTGAAATCCTATTTCTAATGCATGTCTACCCCTTGTAAAGTTCCATTATAAGGTAATAACACTGCTAGATTCCTCTGAAATCCTATTTCTAATGCATGTTTAACCCTTGTAAAGTTTCAATATAGGGTAATAACACTGCTAGATTCCTTTGAAATCCTATTTTTAATGCATGTATACCCTTTGTAAAGTTTCAATATAGGGTAATAACACTGCTAGATTCCTCTGAAATCCTATTTCTAATGCATGTTTACCCCTTGTAAAGTTCCAGTATAGGATAATAACACTGCTAGTTTCATATAAAATCCTATTTCTAATGCATGTCTACCACTGTAAAGTTCCAGTATAAGATAATAACACTGCTTGTTTCCTATGAAATCATATTTCTAATGCATGTCTGTAAAGTTCCAATATAAGGTAATAACACTGCTACCTAACAACAAATTATAGTCGACTCAAAAACCAATAGTGCATAAACAGAAAAAACACGAATATACTCATATTCAAAATTAATATGATAACAAAATCAAATATCACAAATCTGTAACACAGCTCAAACCAAAACACAAAAAGCAAATCCACAACCAAACTAAATTTGAAATCAATCCAAATTATAAACAAAAAAAATTAAAATCACAATTTAAAACTCAAACAAATATCTAATACAAATTAGAACGAAATTAGAAAATCCAATAGCTTATCTCCAAATCGACAATAACAAAAATAAACATATAAAATCAAGAAGAATTGGATCTACATTTCAAATTTAAACTCCAAAACTGCAAAAATTATGAAAACTTAACCAGCAACTTAATTAATCGAACATGAAATCACCCAAATCATACTACAATAAAATCAAAAAAGTCCTTACAATACCTATACCAACATATTCAGACTAACAAGGGGAAATTTTTGGTCTTGGACCCCGGCCAAAAAGTGGCCGGAGTAATCCGGAACACTGCCAAAGCCGTCGGTCAAACTAGGGTGTATTGATTAATTTCCAAAACTCCAAAATCTATCCTAACCACATACATAAACAGCTTGAGCACGAAAATTAGATAAAGTTTCATACCTCGATCGACGGAAACAACAGCCGGAGTCACCGGAAACGACGTCGGAAAACTTGAAATCCACACCTTTTTGAGTTCGCAGCGGCGTCGTCAATGGCTGATGTGGCTGGGCTTTAGCCCAGACTTGATCGTCGGCCTTGACCGATCCTTTTCCGATCGCTGTCATGCTGGCCGTGGACGGAGCACCAAGATCGTTGGCCTAGGCTTGGTTTCTGTGAAGGGAAAGAGACGAGAGAGAGAGACAGAGAGAGACAGAGAGAGAGCCCAAATTTTTCAAAAAAAACTAATTTAATACTAAATGGGTAATAAAGGTATTTCATTTAAGTAATTAAACTAAAAAATATAACAGCTGTCAGTTTTGGGTATATTTTGGGTGTGTTTATATGTTTTAAATAGTGTAGGGTATATTTATAGTTTCATGTCTAGAATTGGGTATTTCACTAATTTTGTAATTAAATTATTTGTTCAAATGGTCCATCAATTCTATATTAATCGCTCCATTGATTCTACTGTTACATTATGTTAATGTTGCTGTCAAATGTAAAGATAAAACTGTCCATAACCGTCCTATGTTCCCCAAATAGGTGATAAAGTGGTGATATGTAGGTGATAAAATGGCGATACATAGGTGATACAGTGGTGATAAATGGGTGATACATAGGTCAAATGTCTTATTTGCCCCCACAAATGTAGCATGTGCTGCTCACATGACTAAATTTAATAGAAAATATAACGGTAGGACCAAAGCACAGATTAATAAAGAGTTGGTGGACCATTTGAACGAATAATTTAGTTTAATGACCAAAATGTAAATCGGATATAAATTTGAGGCCCATTTGAGTAATTTACCCCCCTAATTTAATTTGTTATTTTGTTGCTGATTAGAATAGTTAAACAGGAATGTTTGAGTATAACAAGGAGTATGAATCAGGGTTTACACTACTAATTATATTTGTCGTTGGATTAATCTAAGGGCCTTTATTAAAAATGTTATCACACATCTTCATTTTAAGTCCTTAAATGAGCGGAACTCTTTGAGACTGGATTGGAACCAGTCCCCAGTCTAGTCTACGACCCGTCTAACAAACACGACCTTATAAGGTTGGCATGTGCCGTGACATTGATAACCCAATCAACACAAAATCAACACAAGGGGTGCATTAATACATACAATACAAAGTCAAAGAGTAGTATGTCAGGCTGCATGTAATACCATAGGTTTAGATACACACAAAGTTACTCTTCCTTCAATCTTATATCGAGTTAAGACACACGATCACTGATGTATCTCACATTATCTCGACTTTATTTATTTAGCTATAAAGGGAGTAAACTTTCTTCCTTATCCACTTCTTAACTAGGAAACTAGGGAAGCCTGAAATTCAGAGAAAATACAAAGTGATTAGCAAATTGATTAAAAAGGTGAAGAATAATTGAAATACCATGAATGCAATTGCCCATCAACATTTGTTGGAGATATTTTAACCTTTATATGCCTTATTCACGTTGTTTTAGTCTAGAGAGAGTGGAATATATTTTCTCCGGTATGTTTTCAAAAGCCCTTTCAGTGTTGGGATTTCGTAACTGAAGATTTCTGTAGCAAGTTAATTACTATTAGTTATATAAAAATATTTAAAATAATTTTATTTGGACTGCCATACTACGAAATTCACATTTTTTATATAAATATTTTCTATAACAAAAAAAATATATAAAAAAATGTGAGAGAGTTCGATGAAATAGCCCAAAGACACAAACATGAAACCTCAAAATAAACTTGCTCTACAATCTAATAATCCAAATATTTTGGTTTGGTAGAGTTCATATGAAATGAAACCCTAAATCAAGTTGACAAGTACAGAAATATATCTAAGCAAAACCCTCTTCTTGCACGAGATCCAAGTATCGATTATTTGAACTTTTAATTTATTCTTTATAGTGTCATCAAATAAAGCAAGCATGTCTTCTCTGATCAAACTAAAAAATAAACATATAAATATATAATATAAATAAATAAATAAACGTAGCAAAGCAAAAGTAGCTCACCCCAATTTGAGAGATAAAGTGACATTGGAGCAGTCATCTTCAAGCGAGAGACTGACATCACTGTTGCAGCTGGTGGAGGTGGCAATTTGGGCAGATTCAGATGACATGCCGTCTTCTTCTCCTCCACCTCCAACATTAGTAATCAACGTCTCCGGCTCCACAAACGCAGGTCCAGTATTTCCTCCGGATAACATTACCATCTGCTATGCAAAAAAATACAAAATAAAAAATAAAAATAAAAAAAGAAGAAGAAATATGTACGTGATCGTGGTAGTTGCTTACCCTCTGCCTCAACTGGTTGTTGGCTTCTACCAGCTCAGCTCCCTGAAATTATAGTCGGTGTGCGTGGAAGAGAAAACCAGAGCCAAACTTGGTTATGATAATTGATGTTAAAGTCCTGATTATTGTAAATAGTTGAAATTTGTTTTCATTTACAGAGTACGTATCAATCATCTAACCTTTTTCTCCAGTGCCATAATCTCACTCATAATCAGCTCTTCCTGAAAAGGAATGGAACATTTGCATTTAGATGTTAGTTTATTTGCATAATGTAACCCAAATTGGCAACTCAAACCTTAGTGAAAACCCAGGATACACTAATGCTTTTCACAAAATAGAGCAATTAAAATATACTCTCTATGCACAAACAACTTCTTCAAACAAAGGACAATTGTGGCACCTACTTTATATTATTCGAACAATTCATCATTTAGGTTTTCATTCAAGAATCATCCGGCAAAAAAATAGAATATTGGATACTATTTGACCATTTCATTAAATGGTAATGATTTCAGTGTTTTGTTGAGATGCTGTTGTTTACTTACTGGAACACAAATGCATTGTCTTGCACCATTTAACTAAGCTAACGGGGTCTAACCTAATGGAAAATGACTTTATAATTTGCAGACCAGATGTCTCGGGTTTGAACCCCCTTGGCATCTTAGTCGTGTGAGAAACCCTATTCCCCTATAATTTAAACTATCGCTTGTACTAACACCATTTAACTATTCTGCAACAAGGATTCCTAAATTATAATAAACGGTTTCGATCATTAAACCACAATACAGAGAGTAACATCCTTACTAGAAAATAATTTAGCTAGGGCAGACCTTAGTTTCTATCACACGGCCAAGGCTTGCTTCCACCAGTTGTTCTAACTTCAGCAGCTCATCCAGATTCAGCCCTTCAAGATCCTCACCTTTCAGCTGCCTGTTGCAAGCCAGTCCAATTCCCGCACATAATTCAAGCAATAATACCAGCTAAACAGCCACATATATCTTACAAGTTCATGATGATTTAATAAATTTGTACCTCAGCTGGCGGCTCTTCTCCTCGAGTTCCTTACTCAGTTTGATGTGGTTTTCATTCTCCAGCTAAAATGAGAAATATTGGAACCATTACATAATCTAATCTGTCACATAAAAAGCTTATAAACATCAGCCCCCCCAAAAAAAAACAAACAAACAAAGAAACAACATAACGAGAAGAACAAAAGGATTACAATATATTTTGAAAATGGAATCAAATGAATTACTGGAACATACACGAACATGGATTTACAATTGGTCCTAGTCGTTCTGGGTATTTATTGATTTCCTAGTTTTGTCAGGATTTAGGTAGCTAACAAAATTAGGGTTCTATGTGAGCCTGTGAAAGAGGTTATTTAGGGGCTAAGCCTCAATAGCAACCAAAGTGAGAGGGACACATAGAAGTCTCCAACTCAACTATCTGGAGTTCTGAAAAAATCATAAGAAATTAAATCCCCTAAAGCTTGAAAAACAATTCAATAATAGACTTTTCACAAATAGGTCCATTTTAACATGACATACTATACAAAAACGCATATAGAGACTATTTGGAGAGAAAAACCCAAAACTAACCACTTGTCATTTTCTAATTGGTTATTAGTGTGTTCAAATTTTCTAAGAAACAATTAGAAAATGACAAGTGACTAATTTTGAGTTTTTATCTTCAAATAGCCTCTATATAATGGACTTATTTGTAAAAACCTATAAAATAATTTACCCTCTCCTTTGAACACTTGGAAAACAACTAACAGTAAAAGTAAATAATAATTGATAGTTGATGATGAATCTATGTCCCAATTTTTTCATTGGCTAATTCTTATGTAATTATCGAAGCCACCTATATATATATATATATATATATATATTTAGCCCAAGATGCCGACCCTGCTGCATGCATGTACATAAGTCTGGCATGTAACAGGAATGATAATGTTTTTTTATTTTATGTTCAAACAATCAGAACCGTCAGTTGCTATAGAGATACATTTTGAATCTCCAAAGTGCAGATCACAGAGTAATGTTACAATTAATTGCAGAACAATTTAAAATAGGAAAGAGAAAAGGTCATTGAACTCATTTACTTGCAGCTGAAGAAACTGTTTGTCCGATTTTTCGACACCATCTGTGTGCACTTTGTACCTTTCAATAACATCCTTGGTACTTCACAACACAAAAGGAAAAAAAAACAAACAATCAATTGGCATGTTCACTAGTAAATTATTAGACAGAGAAAAATTAATGCGTGACTAAGCATACATGAGAAACAAAAAAATGGAAAAGAATTTAACCCCCATTATTCAAACTTCTGGTTTGCAAACACAGATTTATACACTTTTATTTGATATGCATAATGAGAACGTTAAGCTATTTGCTGCTGGTTTTATTGCTTGGTTTGGTTACATATGCAAATCAAAACGTCAACTCTAATTCCTTCATAGCTATTTTAAGGAATTATTATATATAAGACCAACCCAAGCAGCTGAGATATTTTAGAACACAACAGTCAAACCGACGTGAGAAAATCAAGTCAGCTAATAAGTGGGCCTCAAAAATCTTAGCTACAGACAGTTCCTCTCACATCAACTCTGGAGCTCATTGAGATATGCTTTGAATATTGTCATCTTTGGTTTAGTCAGTGGGTGTTTTTGATTGGCTTATTTTTATCCTGAATTCGTCAGCGCTAGCTACCATGCAAATACGAATCTCAAACGCTATATTAATTCATGAAAATCAATCGGAGCCAAGTTTTTCTTGCAGGGTAGTGAGACAATTCACACAACTCTTTTTATTTGGACTATCTACACATCCCTTTTTTTGTTTACATGAATGCAAAATTGAAGGCACTTGGGCTATTCTCATCTCTCCCTATAGCAGTTAGGGATAGACTACCACAAACTCTAGACACATGAGTGCAAAATATAATAGAAAAGAAAAAAAAAAAAAAAAAAAACAAACGATTCCGGGCTAGGTCATATGTAGGTCTTAGATTTTAACCTCAACCCCCATCCATTATAAACCTTTAGGATAACATACGATGTATCAAAAGTCTCTACCTAGGTGAATAAATCCATGACCATCATCCCAACGTCATCTTTCTCCTATGTCCGGACGCGATCTCCTCCATTCCTCAGTAAGGCCATAGACACCGAAGAACTAAAATGTAGTTAACACACACCTTAGACTATAACATTTCATTCTTAACTAATCTTGTTCTTCTCAAACACTTTAGAGCTTCAGAAGCCAGATACACCCTAGAAAGATCATTAAACACGTCGGAAACTTCACACATCACTTGGGAGGCCAATTCCCTAGTAGATATATTAATAGACTCTTTTAAACCATTGATTCTTGAAGAATAACTTACTCAAGCCCTACTGGAACAAGGGGATCTAGGCTCCCCAAAGCAAGGCTAATAGGACATGAAAATCGAGTAGAAAACTAGGGGTGGGCATTCAAATCAGAAAACCAAGCTGATGTGGGCCTGAAAAAACCGAGTTGACTAAAAACCAAACCGAGTTGATCAAAAACCAAACCATACTATTTGGTTTGATTTTGATTTTGATTCTTGTAGTGAAAAAATTAGACGGAGCCAAACCAAACCGACTATTTATTTGTTAAGTTTTTAATAAAAAAATTTAAGCCCAATGCAAAATTTCTAAGCCCATAATCTTTCCCCAAGCCTAACTACAAATCATCTCTCTTTTCTAGGCCCAATCACCTTCCTTTGCATGAAATTGAGCAATTTGTGAATTTTAAGCCAAATAAATAAATTTTTAATTGGGTTTTGTACCAAAAAAAATATATATATTTAAAAAGGGATTCCGATCCAAAATCGTAAACCGAACCTACTCATGGGCAAATCGTACCACACTAGACCGGAGAATTTTTTCGTCAAAACCAAACTGAACCGAACTAGATGAATAATTCCGATTCTGATTCCAATTTGGGGTGAGAATCGGATTGTACCCACCCTTATAGAAAACTTAGAATCATGTTTTGTGTTAACATGGCCTCGCTTAACAAGCCCTATTTATAATTGGAAAATTTGGACCAATATTGCTCTACTTTGAAACTTGGAAAAGTTTGAAAAATAATGTAAAGTAAAATCTAAGGCTAAAGAACAACACTTTTATTCTCCCCTAGATTTTCAGTGTATATTGATTTGAGTAAAATCGTTTTATGTTTTATGTTTTGTTTTGTTTTGGTTGCAAAAATGAAAACATGGACTACAATATCGAGAGCTTTAATAGAAAAACTTGAAGAAGAAAAAAAAAACAAAATAGACAAACTAGACAAACTAGCAGCTTTGCATATAAAGTGTCAAATTATGCCCGGAAACCTAGAAAAATAATTTTTACATGAAATTTTCAATGGAAATTGATTAGAAATTGCATACTGACATAAACAGTTAAAAGGTCTTTTAATTTTGTTCTTAATTTGCATTTGCATTTTCAAATTGTCTTTTAATCTGTTTCCTTCATTTGACGCATGTTATTAATAGTAAAATAGGAACAATTCTTTTTTCTGAAAAACAGAGGTGGTATTAACTGAAAGGAAGCATGACCTTATTTAAATTATTATTCCATAGTTAACATCTCATTCTCACCCTCCCTCTCATGCGTGCACATCTAAGTATGAAACTAGGTTTTAACAAGATCTTTCATGCATTCATGGCAAAAACATGTTATGGTCATAGCTCCACCACCCATTTGCCCTACTTGAAAGCATGCATGCATATTCCGGCTGAAAGTCTTCAGGGCTTCTATATGATGAATACTCAAGTTATCATTATATCACATTATTTCTAGTAAGAAAACTACAAACATATAATTCAATGTTTGTAACCACATTAATTTACTGGCATTTTTTTAGTTTAGGCGGGGAGAATGAAAGACACCTTTTCAAACACAATCCACCATTATCTTAAGTTTGAACGATAAGATATATACATATAGTATAGATATGTATATATCCGAAAGAGTAAAATACTCTCTTACTAGCTAGACTATCGATCATTTTATGCGGTCAGATTACAAATCTAGATTTGGTGATCTTCATTCTTGTTTGAATGTATGATTTGATTGATGGTCTAACATATCGTGTCTCTCACAAGGAAACCATTAATTTTATGTCCTTTTGGAACAAGGATATTCTTCATTGTATATAGGTCCCACCTAAGATTTTATATAATATCTACTACCAATATGTGATAGGTGGAGGATAAGATTACAGATTTTATATATACACTTTGTCCAAAAAGATATACACAGTTTTGCTTGGTAAACAAAATTGATTGCGCATGTAGTACAAGAAAAGAACATCACCATATAATGTTTCTAAAACTGCGACACCTAGCTAGAAGTTGTCTTAATCAAAAGTATGCAAGGTAGTAACCCTCGAACTAGTTGCCTTTGAAATAGAGTATGACTATCTAAAGTCATCATCTACAAGATTCTCTCTCTCTCTCTCTCTCTCTCTCTCTAGAAGCTTCTGGTTCTCCTTTTTTTTCTTTTGGAAGCTTAGACACAATAAATAATGTCTGTGTGCTGAGTTCAAACCATGGAATTTCAGGAAGGACAGGTAATTTCCATAAAAGACACCCTCTCCTCTAAATATATTTCTACCCAAATGACTGAATCTCAGACTCTCTCTCTCTCTCTCTCTCTCTCTCTCACACACACACACACACAGACACACACAAGTCAAGTCAAACTTCAGACATCATGATCATACATATTGGTTATCTTTTCAAGGAAGGAAGGAGTCAAAAGAATTATAAGGTATATAGTGGTGGGTGCTGGTACCTTGAGCTCGAATAATCAAAGAGCTTGTCTGTGGCAGAAAAGATGACGACAGCCACCTCAGATTCACACAGAACAGATAGCTCTGCAGCTTTCTTGAAGAGCCCTCTTCTTCTCTTTGAAAAGGTAACCTGCCTTGCTGGCAGGTAGTCAATCTTTTTTATCTTGATCTTCTCCCTCATCATTTTCACCATTTCCCTTCAAAAAAATTCAAACCAACCACTTTTCACATATATTATTATCTTCACACACTCAAAAACTACACAATATTTTCTGGGTTCCTTCTCAATTAATTTAACCCTTTAATGGTCCCCAGATCTAAATGAACAAAACCCAGAAAAACCCACCAACCAAAATAGGTTACAAGTTCACAAGAAGAAGAAGAAGAAGAAGAAGAAGAAGAAGACGAAGAAGAAGAGGAAGAACCCTAATTAATTTAATCAATTAATCTTTGGGTTTTCCTCTCTGTTTTTAATGTTTACCTTTGTCGGGGGTTTTCAGCCCGGTCTGAAGTTTTGGTCTGTCCAGAAAACTAAGAGAATTAGAGAGATAAAGGACGGCTGCTGTTGGTGGCTGGTTGTTCAAGAAAGGAAATTTTCCTTTTTATGGAAAACATCTATTTTTATTATCCTCTGCTTTACTTCGGTCTCTTCTGGAAAAACAATGAAACCAGAGCAAATCGACGGGGACAGATGCACCTAGACGTTGATGCATGCAATCTCCACCGTTGATCCTGTAATGCGACAGCGCAAACCGCAGCATCTTACTTTTTGTGATTGATTTTGTCCATATCTAAGTTATGTTTTTTTTTGTCAGAAATATCTCAAGTTTAGTTTGTTGTCGGTTTAATTCTTACTACGTGTAGAGCTATAACAGAAATAATAAATTTTATTTTATGTGGAGTCGGATGGAGACAGATCATTCGCTGTCACGTCACTTGATTGGGCCCACCATGCGACACGTGGCTGTCTATATCTTGCTCAGGTTCCTTCCCCCAGTTCATTTTTATCCACTTAATCCACGCAAACAGTACGTGTCTCGCCGTGACATTGATAACCCAAGCAAATTCAAAATCAACATAATTCACCATGCAAGCTGCATTAATACAAAGTTTTAAATACAATACAAAGTCAGAGCAATTTCAAGCTGCATGTAACGCATAGGTTTAGATACAACACACAGTCACCCTCCCTTTGATATTTTTCAATGTTATGTCGAGTTAAGACACATAATCACTGATATCTTACAATACCTCGACTTTCTTTATTTAGTTATAAGGAGAGTAAACTTTCATCTTTCTCCACTTCTTAACGCCTGAAATTCAAAAAAAAAACGTACAAAGTGATTAGTAAATTTATTTAAAATGTGAAGAATAAATGAAATACCATGAATGCAACTGTGCACCAACATTTGTTTGTGGGGATGTTTTAACTTGTATTATGCAGGTTACGCTGTCATAGTGGGAGTGTGGAATAAATTCTCCCCTAAGTTTTCAGCCCCTTTCAGTGTTGGGATTCCTCAACTGAAGCTTTCTGTAATTTTCATAGAACAATGCGGGAAAGTTAATTATTTTATTTTTATACAAAAAATGTTTAAATTAATTTGATTTAGATTGCCATACTATGCAATAATAATGACGTTAATTCACAAAGCCATCTATTATTTTCTATAACAAAATATAATTTAAAAAATGTGAAATTTCAGTGAAAGTCACTTCTTTCAATTTAAATAAACGCAAACGGAAAGGCTCTAATTAAGTGTTTAGAGTGAGGAGCTTATTTGAGGGGTTCAATCCCACCATCAACAAATGAGAGAAAATCAATGAACTTAAACATTTTAAATAGTTTGATAGTGGGATTAAACCCCTCAAATAAGCTCCTCACTCTAAACTCCTCATTGTAGAAGCTCCGATGTAGTAAATAGGTGAAAACAGTTAGGCCCAAATGAGCACTTATACTATATTACTGAAAATATTGAAGTTGCTGGGAAATAAATCATCGTGCAATTGTTTTTTATTTATCTGAAATTCGTGATGACTTTTTGAATTGTCAATATTTCTTTATTAAAAAAAATGTCGGTGGGATCAGCAATTCGTAGTTTTTCTTTTCTAAAAATCCAAACATTTTGGTTTGGTAGAGTTAAAAAATGAAACCCAAGATCAAGTTAAGAAGTACAGAAATAAATCTAAGCAAAACCCTCAACACAAGGGAAGGGAAATATCCTCCTCCCTCTTGTTGCACGACGCCCGAGTACCATCAAATAAAGCAATGATCAAGCAAGTCTTCTCAGATGAAACTTAAAAGCATATAAATAGCAAATAGCAAAAGTAGCTCACCCCAGTTTGAGAGACAAAGTGACCTCATCGGAGGAGTCATCTTCAAGAGAGAGACTGACAGCACTGTTGCAGGTGGTGGAGATAGCAGATTCAGCTGACATGCCTTCTTCTTCTCCTCCACCTTCAATATTATTATTCAGCCTCTCCGGATCCATAAGCGCAGGTCCAGTATTTCCTCCCGATAACATCACCATCTGCTATGCAAAAAATTACAAGAGAAACAAAAGATCAACCCATAATCTTTTATTAAGAGCACTCTTCCTCTCAAAAAACAAAAAGAGAAGAAGAGAAAGTAAGAAGAAGTATGTACATGATTGTGGTAGTTGCTTACCGTCTGCCTTAGCTGGTTGTTGGCTTCAACTAGCTCAGCTCCCTGAAATTATAGTCAGTGAATGAAAGAGAGAACCAAAGCCAAACTTGGTTATGATTATTGATGTTAATTTATATATGTTTTTAAGTCGTGATTATTCTACGTTTGTTTCCATTTACATATCTGTACGTATCAATCATCTAACCTTTCTTTCAAGTTCCATAATCTCACTCTTAATCAGCTCTTCCTGGAAAAGAATGGAACAGTTGCATTTAGATGTTAGTTTTCAGAAAATAAACCTTAGTGACAACCCAGAATACACCTATGCTTTTCACAAAATACAGCAATAAAAATATACCCTATTCACACAGACGATACTTCTTCAAACAAAGACCTACTTTATATTATTCGAACGGTTCATTGCTTACGTTTTCATTCAAGAATCCTCCAGAAATAAAATAAAATAAAATAAAATAATATCGGAGACCAATTGACCATTTCTTTAAACAATTAAACTAACTTTATGCAACAAGGATCCCTAATTTGAGATTTAAATACTAAACGATTTCGACAAATATACCACAATACAAAGAGCCTTCGCACCATGGTTACTAGAAAATAAATTAGCTAGGGCAGACCTTAGTTTCCATGACACGGCCAAGGCTTGCTTCCACCAGTTGTTCCAACTTCAGCAACTCATCCAGATTCAGCCCTTCAAGATCCTCACCTTTCATCTGCCTGTTGCAAGCCCGTCCAATTTCAGCAGATACATCAAACAATAATACCAGCTAAACAGCCACATATATATATCTTACAAGTTCATGAATTTTGTACCTCAGCTGGCGGCTCGTCTTCTCGAGTTCCTTACTCAGTTTGATGTGGTTTTCATTCTCCAGCTAAAATGAGAAATATTGGAACCATTACATAATTTAATCTGTCTCTGTCAAATGAAAAGCTTATAAACGTCAGCCTCGAAAAATATAAGAAAAAAAGAAACAAAAAGGATCACAACATATTTTAGAAAATGGAATCAATGAATTACTTGAACATACAAACCCAACATTAATACCTTAGAAAAACTTAGGGATTTAATTAATAGCAACAAACCCAACTTAGATCAAGGCAAATGGAAAAAGAACAGATAACAGATTAAATTGAGATAACAGATTAAATCTAAAGCACAATATTAACACGTAGAGCACTCTTACTTTATTGGAAGAACTTCAACATTTTGTTAGGGCAAAAACTTCAACATTTTTACTCCCCAACCAACCGCTACTTGAGCACCAAAACAGAGTTTCTTTCCTGATTACTCAAATTCTATAGAGATAAGGAGTTTAATGAAATTTTGACCTAAGTATTCATGTTATTCTTGTGCTAAGCTGCTCCAAATTTTTGTGTCTAGAGTTTTCTGGTGCTGGGGCAACAAGGGGAAAAATAAATAAATTTGTGGGGTTTCACGATCGTTCTAGGTATTTTTTGCTGGAGACAAATGTGATTGATTGATAGTTGCTGATGAATCTACGTTGCAATTTTTTCATTGGCTAATTCTAAAACACCACCAGGACTTGGCCCAAGACTACTATTTCCTTCCATCTGTAGACCAAATTAATAAGTCCCTCCCACCACAAATGGACTTATCAAAGCCACCTAGCTACATACATTTAGCCCAAGAGGCCGACCCTGCTGCATGCGTATGTACATAAGTCTGGCATGTAACAGGAAATAATGCTTTTTATTTATGTTCAAACAATCAGAACCTTCACATGCTATATATAGAGAGATATTTTGAAGCTCCAAAGTGCAGATCACATAGTTGTTACCATTAATTGCAGAACAATTTAAAAGGGTGAAACGGAAAAGGTAAACCATTGATGAACTCATTTACCTGCAGCTCAATCTCTTGATTGTTCGATTTTTCGACACCATTCATGTCTGCGTTGTACCTTTCAATAACATCCTTGGTGCTTCATAACAAAAAACGAAAAGAAAAAAAAATCAATTGGCATGTTCGCTAGTAAATTGTTAGACATTGAACATGTGACTACGCATACAAGAGAAACAAAAAAATGGAAAAGAATTATTATTCAAACTTCTGGTTTGCAAACACCAAGACACCACTAATGTCTAATTCAGGGTTTTGATAATCCAATTTCAATTATAATGCAAAATACAAGCAAACCCAGGATTGGATTTCCAATTTTCTGCATGCAGAATTTTTCCAGTTATATATTGGAGATCCAAAAAAGGGCCACACCATAGAATAACCCAATCATCTCAAGAGAAAACAATTATAATGAATAATTTTATTAATTTTGTACAAAAAATAGCATCAACAGTAACCAACCGCTTTGGACATTCATGCAATAATCTAACTATGATTTATTAAAAAAGTAAATTCAACAGTGAAAAATAAATGAACTAATTCACCCCTCCCTCCCCTCACAAATTAAAAAATATATATGTTGCAGATTTGGATATTTTTGTACCATTAGTACTGTTCCTTGCTAGCATCAGGAAAGGGTTCCATTCAAGACCATCATCACAACTATGATTTTGGAGATTTTGAAATGAAATAAATACTTGTTTTATATGCATAATGAGAACGTTAAGCTATTTGCTGCTGGCTTTATCGCATGGTTTGGTTATGCAAATCAAACGTCAAATCAAATTCCTTCATAGCTATTTTATAGAAAACCTATATATAAATATATATAAAAGACCAACCAAACAAGCAACTGAGATAGTTTACAACACGAGGCATTTATACATGGAAAATGCTAGGGAGATCATCTTTAGAGACTAACTTATGTATTATATCTCAAATAGAGATGGGACCCATTGTATTAGTGAGCTTCCTTTCTAGGTTGCTTTGTTTTGTAGTTTTTTGTGCCCTCCCCATTTTTGACGAGGTTTCGGAATGAAATATCACCATTTGACAAAAAAATAATAGATTTACTTGAATTCAAATTCATTTTTCCTTGTATGGGGTCATTCGATGTTGGTGGAAAAGATTGATAAACAATACATTGGAAAAATATTTCGTGCCTTTGAATATTAATAGATTGATTGTTACATTTATGTATCTTCTAATGGATTGATTGTTAAATCTTAAACCAAACCTCAAGCTCCCCAGAGTCACCTCATACCAAGCTAGAAAGAACCATAAAACAAACCAACTTGTTGTGGTTTGGCAATCATCCGAAAACCAAAACTCGCCAATCTTAGGCAACTTCTACTGCCTAAGATCTTGCTTGCTTGATTACTAAACCACATACTAGTTAAGTTAGTGTTTGTACTAAAATTTTCACAAGCCACTGGCAGGCAGAATAGAAAACGGGTAAACGAAGCCACTTATTTTGCGCCAAAAATTTCAAAGGTCTCTATGTAGGTGAATAAATCCATGACCATCATCCCAACGCCGGCTTTCTACAATGTCCCGACATCATCATCCCCATTCCTCAATACGCCCATAGAGATCGAAATACTAAAACGTGGTTAAGACACCTTAGACAAGAACTCTCTTCTTTGTACATACTTAATTCATGTAGAACAGATGCCAAAGGCAATTGAAGAAGAGTAGAAGAGGCGCGCGCAAGGGCAAACCTAGAAAGCTGCAAGTTTGGGCCCATGACCCATCAATTCGAAGAGAACGGCTTTTTCAGACATCCGAGATCGTTTAACCCCCCAAAATCCAGTTTTTATGTTTTATGAGTTTTTGAAAATTACTTTGTAATTTTTCCTATTTTAATTCCTTGTTTATTCTTAGGATTTCTAGGGTATTTAAAGAATTTTGGCTAGGGTTAAATTATGTTATTCCAAATTATCAATAAACTTGAGGTTCCTCATTTCTTCATGGTGGATTCCAAAGTTGTGTGTTTTAGGCTAAATCTTCAACCATCCAATTGTCACGATGCGTTATTAATGCAAGTAGACACCCACAATGTAAGTTTTTGAAACCAAATTACAGAATTGAAGCAAATATTAAAGGTTAAAGTAGTGTCTCGAACAAGTGTTTTAGCCATCTTCATCTAACTTTTTACAGGACGCACTGCTCTTGAATTTTGTTCGCATCATCTAGCAAGACTAAAATCATCATACGACTTCTACCTCCTCCTTAATTGATCCATTTTTGGTACTTGCATAGATAGTCATAGCGCCAACATTGTGAGCTTGATTTATCATCCTTATCGGTCTAAAGGATTGTTACTTTCTTAATCGCTCTTAAAAAGTCACCCTTGTAGTGAATACTATTATCCCACTGGAACAAGGGGATCCAGACTCCCCAAAGCTAGGCTATTAGGACATGAAAATCTAGTAGAAAACTTGGAATCATGTAAAACATTAAACAACCAAGTGACAACATAGGAAGTGGTGAACCTAATAAATGGGAAGAAGATGTACTATGAAGTGTTGAACCTACTAAAATGGGAAGAGCGATCTCCTATGGAAGAAAACTTGGTGGGAGTGGCTAAGGACTCCAACATGTTATAACATTGGGCGAGTCTCATAAACACACATATGACTTTGGAGATTCCTATATAAATCTTTCGACACATTACTAAATAAATCTTTAGAAAATATCCAAGAGCAATACTTTTCCAAACTTGGAGAATTTGGATCAATATTGCTCTACTAGGAAACTTCGACAAGTTTGAAAAATAATGTAATAGTAAAATATTCATTTCATGGTTTTGTTTTGGTTGCAAGAACTCTGGTACTTGAATATAAATACAATTAGAAAACCTTTAAAATATATATATAAAAAACTTTGCATATAACATGTCAATTAGGGAACCAAGAAAAATAACTTTTAAAGGAAACTGATTAGAAATTGCATACTGACATGAACAATTAAAGGTACGTCTCCATTTTGTTATTTTTAACTGCGACCTCCATTTGTATCAAAGCTTTTATATATATATAAAAGGTCATTACTCTCTTGCAAATAGTATCGCCATATAAGACCACCTTAGAGTTTATTTTTGGGTTAAAGAAGACCACTTTGGAGGTGGTATTTCTAGTTTGTGTCTTTTTTATATAAAAAAATATAAATGATCAGCGTAATTATTTTTGTTAACTGAAAGGATGCGTGACCTTATTTAAATTCTTATTCCAAAGTTAACATTTCATTCTCACCCTCCCTCTCTTTCCTCCCTCTCTTTCCTTCCTCTCATGCATGCACATATCTAATCCTTATTCCATAGTAGGCATGCATTCATGGCAAAAACATGTTATGGTCATAGCTCCACCACCCATTGCCCTACTTGAAACCATGCATGCATATTCCTGCTGGAAGTCTTCAAGGCTTCTATGATGAATTCTCAAGTTATCATCATACCACTTTATTCCTAGTAAGAAAATTACAAACATATAATTCAATGTTTGTAACCACATGAATGTACGGGCATTTTGTCGTTTAGGTCCTTTTCAAACACAACCCACCAATATCTTAACTTTGATGGATAAGATACATATAGATATGTATATATATGGTAAAGAGTTAAATACTCTCTTACTAGCTAGACTATCTAACATTTTATGTGGTCAGACTACGAATCTAGAATTGGTAATCTGCATTCTTGTTTGAGTGTATGATTCAATTGATGGTCTAATATATCGTGTCTCTCACAGGGGAACATTAATTTTAAGTGGAAAGAATGTTTGAAGGATAACATATATACATATAGATGTGTATATATATTGTAAAGGGTGGAATACTCACTAGCTAGCTATAGTAACTATCATTTTATGTGGTTAAACTATGAATCTAAAAAAGGTGATCTGCTTTATTATTTGAGTGTATGGTTAGATTGATGGTCTAACATACCGTGTCTCTCACAAGGGAACATTGATTTTACCTTGGACTTGGACAATGATATTCTTCATTGTATAGGCCCCACCTAAGATATTATATAATATCTATTACCAACATGTGATAGGTGGGAAAGGATGAGATTGAAGCAGCGAGATATACTAGTGTTTAAGGTCATAAGATTACAGAATTTGCTAAACAAGATATACACGTACACAGTTTTACATATGCATGCATGTAGTACAAGAAAAGAACATCACCATCATATGCACCACACATCTTTTCAGAAGTTGTCTTAGTCAAAAGTAGACTTTATTTTCCTTAAGTGGATAGATACACAAGGTGGTGACCCTCGAACTAGGTTTTTTTGAAACAGAGTATGACTATCTAAAAGTATATTTCGACCAAAAAACAAAAAAAAACCTATCTAAAAGTATCATCTGCAAGATTCTCTCTCTCTCTCTCTGGAAGCTTCTGGATTCTCCATTTTTTCTGTTGGAAGCTTAGATACAATAAATAATGTCTGTGTGCACAGTTCAAACCATGGAATTTCTGGAAGGATAGGAAATTTCCATAAAGGCACTCTCCCTCTCCTCTAAATATATTTCTACCCAAATGACTGGATCTCAGAATCTCCATCTCTCTCTCTCTCTCACCCACACAGAGAGAAGTGAAGTCATCAGACTTCATAGACATCATGATCATACATATTGTTATTTTTTCAAGGAAGGAAAAGTCAAAATAATTATAAGGTATGTTGCTGGTACCTTGAGCTTGAATATTCAAAAAGCTTGCCAGTGGCAGAAAAGATGACAACTGCCACCTCAGATTCACACAGAACAGATAGCTCTGCAGCTTTCTTGAAGAGCCCTCTTCTCCTTTTTGAGAAGGTCACCTGCCTTGCAGGCAAGTAGTCAATCTTCCTGATCTTGATCTTATTCCTCATCATCTTCAAAAAAATTCAAACCAACCACTTTTCACATACACTCAAAAACTATACAATATTTTATGGGTTTCTTCTCAATTTTAAACTTTTAATGGTTCCCAGATCTAAATGAACAAACCCAGAAAAACCCACCCCCCAAAACACAAAGAAGAAGAAGAAGAAGAGGAGAAGAACCATAATTAATTAAATTCTGGGTTTTCTTTTTTGTTTAATGTTTACCTTCGTTGGTGGGTTCGGGGTCTGCGTTCGAAATGAGAGAGAGAAATGGCTGCTGCTGCTGTCTGGCTGTTGTTCAAGAAGGGAAATGAAATGATTTATGAATTTTCCTTTATATGGAAAAATATATTCTTCTATTATCTTCTTGGGGAACAAAGGTTAAGAAACCTGAGCAAATCGAAGGGGACAGATGCTCTTCACGTTGATGAATGCAACCTCCACCGTTGATATGTGACTTGAGAAAATGTGGCATCTGACTTTTTGTGAAAGAATTTGTCAGAAATATCTAAGTTTTGTTTTTTCTGTCGGTAAAATTCTTATTACGTGTCAATCTACAAAAGAAAGAAGAATTTTTCTTTTTTTATAGGTGTGGGGGATGGCCCTTTGACACAGGTCATGCGCTGTCATGCCACTTGATTGAGCCCACTATGACACGTGGCTTTGTCTTTATCTTGCTCAGGTTACTTCCTCCAGGCCACTTCTATTCGTTTAATCCAAGCAGACAGTATGAGTTTCTTCTTAAACATTCTGGTTCCTACATTTAAAATTGATCTCACTTGTTTTTGTCTGGTTTAAGTTTAGGTGTACATGAGTTGTAATAGTACAAATAAAACAGTTTTACCTATAATGTCATTCGTGGGACAAAACTTCACGATATCTTGAAATGAGCTTTGTAACGTGAAAACAATGAAGAAAGACATCTAAGTCTTTAAGCACATCGGTCTACGACCCGCGCGTACCGTTAGCCTGTGTGACATTGATAACCCAAACAATACAAAATTAACAAGTCTCCATGCAGGCTGCATTGATACAGAGTTCTAAATACAATACAAAGTCAGAGCAATATGTCATAAGTTGCAAGTAATACACATGTTTTGATACAACACAAAGTTACTCTCCCTTCAATATTTTTCAATCTGATATCAAGTTAAAACACACAATAACCGATATCTCACGATACCACAACTTTCTTTATTTAGCTATAAGAAGAGTAAACTTTCATCTTTCTTCACTTCATAACCAAGGAAATTAGGGACGCCTGAAATTCATAGTAAAGTGAAAAGAAAATTTATTAAAAATGGTGAAGAATAAATAAAATACCATGAATAATTAAAATGCTTGGGAGGGTAAGTGGTAAACAGGTGAAAACAGTTTGGTTAGGCCCAAATGAGCACTTATGCCATATATATATCTTTTTTCCAAACACATATTACTGTAAATATTTGAAACTCATGATTACTTTCAATAACATTTCTATAATAAAAAATATTGTCAAATACAGAAAATATCCAATATTTTGGTTTGGTAGAGTTAAAATTGAAACCCAGAATAAAGTTGACAAGTACAGAAAATATCCTAGTTGTTCTGTATTGCACGACAACCGAGTATTCAAAATTCTATTCTCTGATCTGATCGAACTTAGAAAGCAAAGACATATATATACACAAATAGCAAAGCAAAAGAAGGCTAGCTCACCCCAATTTGAGAGATAAAATGACGTCGTCGGAGCAGTCATCTTCAAGAGAGAGACTGAGAACACTGTTGCAGCTGGTGGAGGTAGCAGATTCAGATGGCTCCATAAGCGCAGGTCCAGTATTTCTTTTGGATAACATCACCATCTGCTATGCAAAAAATACAAAATATTTATATATAAAAAAGGATCAACCCATCTTTTATTAAGAGCAATATGTTGCTTACCCTCTCCCTTAACATCACCATCTGATTGTTGGCTTCTACCAGCTCAGTTCCCTGAAATTATAGTTGGTGCAAGCAAGAGAAAACCAGAGCCAAACTTTGTTATGATTATTTATGTTGAAGTTTGTTTTCATTTACAGAGGTACGTATCAATCATCTAACCTTTTTCTCAAGTGCCACAATATCACTCATAATCAGTTCTTCCTGAAATTTGCATTTAGATGTTAGTTTATTTGCTTTTCACAACACACAGCAATTAAAATATACTCTCTATACACAAGGGGCAGACCTTAGTTTCCATCACACGGACAAGGGTTGCTTCCACCAGTTGTTCCAACTTCAGCAACTCATCCAGATCCAGCTCTTCAAGATCCTCACCTTTCATCTGCCTGTTGCAAGCCAGTCCAATTCCAGCAGATACATCAAACAATAATACCAGCTAAACAGCCACATATATCTTACAAGTTCATGATGATTTAATAAATTTGTACCTCAGCTGGCGGTTCTTCTCCTCGAGTTCCGTACTGAGTTTGATGCGGTTTTCATTCTCCAGCTAAAATTAGAAATATTGGAACCATCATTTAGAGAATTTAATCTGTCTCTGTTACATGAAAAGCTTATAAACGTCAGCCCCGAAAAGAAACAAAGAAACAACATAATGGGGGAAAAAAAAAGGATTACAATATTTTTTTTTGAAATGGAATCACATGAATTACTTGAACATACAAGAACATAGATTTATAATTTGTCCTAGTCATTAATACCTTTGAAAAACTTAAGGGATTTAATTAATAGCAACAAACCCAACTCGCAGAAATCCGAATTTTCGATTGAGGCAAATAGAAAAAGAACTTGTACTGATTAAATTGAGATAACAGATTAAATCTAAAGCACACAGGGTATCCAAACTCTTACTTCATTGGAAGATGGCAGGATGAAATCACATAATCAAAGTCCTTGATAGGCCATGCCACTCATCCATTAACAAAATATATAGCTAGGTCAAATATTAGAGCTTCAGATACTTTTTTTTTAATCCTTGGTGGACTTTATGGCAATGCCACTCAACTTCTATAGAGATAAAGAATTTAATAAAATTTTGACCTAAGTATTCATGTTAGTCTTGTGCTAAGCGGCTCTAAATTTGGAGTTCTTCAACCCGTGTTTAGAGTTTTTGGGTGCTGAGGCAAGAAGGGATTTTTTTCCTTTCTTTTGGTGTGGGAATATTCTATACATTCAGACAAGGTGATTTTTGTGGGGACTCTACTGTGCTGCTTGTTTTCTGTTCTCTTCATGGGGTTTTGAGGTCGTTCTGGGTATTTTTGATTTCCTTGTTTCTTCAGGATTTAGGTAGCTAACAAAATTAGGGTTCTCTGTGAGCCTGTTAAAAAAAGGCTAAGTAGGGGCTAAGCCTCAAATGAAGTCAAAGTGAGTTTGTCACCGTCTATAGGTTTGGGGTTCCTAGAGAGATTAGACAACTTTCAAGGTTTGGATCTCTGCAAGTATGCAAGTGTTGATAGAGACGCACAATATGTGATGTAGGACAAGATTGGGATGAATTCAAGTGGGAAAAATTATGGGGCAGTCCACATGCTCTACTTTTTCAATTCTAGTCCAACCACCATTTTTAATGAATTTACAGTCTATGCCACTTCCAGAAATGGAAGTCTATGAAAGCACCTCCCTAAAATTTAACTTATGAATTTCATTATCTGGACTAGAGGTGGTTTATGGGTTTAACTACCTGGACTAGAGGTACGAAGTTTCTAGGAACCTCGATTACAAGTTTTGAGGTGGCTATACCTGGAACAGAGGCATATTTACGGTTTTGGGTGTAGTTTAGTGTGATTTGTAGGTGGAGACGTGATTTGTGGGATGTGTTGATGTTCTAAATATTTATGGTTTACAGTTTTGGAACAGAGGCATGTTCTAAATATTTGTGTGAACAGAGGCATATTTGCGGTTTTGGAACAGAGGCATGTTCTAAATATCATAATTATTATGACAAAAATTAATGGCATATGTTCTAAGGGAGCTTCTACAATGAGAAGTTAAAGTGAGGAGGTTATTTGAGGAGACCGATCCGACCGTCAAAACATTTAAAATATTTAAGTCCCATGATTTCTTTACATTTGTTGATGGTGAGATTTGACCTCCTCAAATAACCTCCTCACTTTAAGCCCTCATTATAGCCTTTCCGTATGTTCTAAATATCATAACTACTATGACATGAAGCCCAATACAAAGTCAAAAAGAGAAAAACAAGGGCTCAATCATAAAAAGAAAATAAAAGCCCAATTCCAGGTCCAAAACAGAAAAACAGAAAAAACAGAAAAACAGAATCGATGCCGCCGCTGCCGCCATTAGAAGAATGTCCAAAGGTACTAACAAGGATTTGGAGAAGCAAGCCACAAACATTCATCATACTCAAGGGAGGGGGAGAGAGGAACTGGTGTGTGGGTGAGGGTATGAGAGGAGGAGGAAAAATAGAGGAGATGAGAGACATAGGGGCTTAAATAGAGGGGCGACAGAGATTAGCCGTCCGTTAGGACTCAAGATCCCACATTGGAAAAATAGAATATCCTATAGAATGGTTTAAGAGCTCAAGGGCCCTTCCCTTACAAGCCAATTGTTAAGGGCAAGTTCTACTCATGGGTTTTTAACATTTGGTATCAGAGCCTAATTTCACCACACAATTGGGCCCAATTCCACAGAATGGGTGACCTATACGCTGGATTAAGATGATCGGTGTTATGTATGGGCATGATATTGATCACTGAATACTGATAGTTGAGTGAAACCTCCTCAAAGGAAGTAAAGGGCTACCACCAAGTCAATGTGAATAGAGTGGGCCAACGAGGACGTTAGAAGGGGGGTGGGGCTCCTCCCCTCATATGTGAGTGCGCTGTGAGAGCCTAAATGCGAGTACGGTTGGTCTCTGTTTTCAGATGCGTGAGAACTATCATAAGAAATTAAATCGGCTGCATGCCCCTAAAACTAAAGTTTGAAAAACAATGGATTTGTAACCCAAATGGTTAAAAGAATTTACTTTCTACCTTGAGTATAATTACAAATGAAAAAATAAAGAAAGAGGAACGCTTGGAAAACAACCAACAGTAAAAGTAAATAATATTTGATATTTGATGATGATTCTATGTTCCAATTTTTCATTGGCTAATTCTTTATGTACACCAAATTAAGTCCCACTAGAGTTGGACTTATCAAAGCCACCTACATGTATTTAGCCCAAGAGGCCGACCCTGCTGCATGCGTATACATAAGTCTTGACAATGCTTTTTTATCTATGTTCAAACAATCAGAACCGTAAGATGCTATAGAAATACATTTTGAAGCTCCAAAGTGCAGATCACAGAGTATGTTACAATTAATTGCAGAACAATTTAAAAGGGGTAAAGGGAAAACCATTGAACTCATTTACCTGCAGCTCAAGTTCATCCGATTTTTCGACACCATTTGTGCGCGATTTGTACCTTTCAATAACATCCTTGATACTTCACAAAAGGATAAAAAAAATTTAAAAAAATCAATTGGCATGTTCACTAGTAAATTATTAGACAGGGAAAAATTAACATGTGACTAAGCATACATGAGAAACAAAAACATGGAAAAGAATTTTACCCCCATTATTCAAACTTCTGGTTTGCAAACACAGAGATACACTCATGTTTATTTTTATTTTTTGTATACGACTAATAAATGATATCATTGTAAGATATGTGTGCATGGCTTCCTTTTAATATCTGCAATTTATCATACTAAAATATTCTCTACCATAACTTCAAAGCTTGATGGCATGGCATCTTGCTTATGATTGAATTATTTTCTGACTTTGGAGTCTATAAACTAACATAACCAGCAATCAGACTAATTTCAGTTTCAATTATAATGCAAAATTTGATTTCCAATTTTCTGCAGACCCAGAATTTGATTTCCAATTTTCTGCAGACGAAAAATTTGATTTCCAATTATATATTGCAGACCCAAGAAAGGGACTAATCATCTCAAGAGAAAGCAAGTACAATGAATATATTGCCTATTTCATTACAATTTATTACAAAAAGTAATATCAACAGTAACCAAACCACACCTGCACGCAATAAGCTATGAACACCTCTCCCCCCTCTCCCCCCAAAAAAATCTCAGCTTGGCTTTCAAACGCACAAATATCACATACACAATGAGAACGTAAAGCTATTTGCATGGTTTGGTTACGCAAATCAAAACGTCAAGTCAAATTCCTTCAATATCAGCTGAGATATTTTCGAACACAAAGCAAAGCAAAGCAAAGCAAACCGACGTATCAAGTCAACTGATAAGAAGTGGGCCTCAAAAATCTTAGTCACAGTTCCTCTCACTAAACTCTGACGCCATCAAGTCAATAATATATGCTTTGAATATATTGTTACGTTTGGTAGGCTACCATGCAAAGATGAATCTTTACTAAACCCTAAAAAACCTTAAGAAAAGCTATCCGCTTTCGGGCTAGGTCATATATAGGTTTTAGACTTCAACCTCAGCCCCGTTCTGAGTCTCATTGCTCTACTTGGAGTATTAGAATACCTATATGAACCTTTACTTGGAAAATTTTGACACATTGCTCTACTTGGAAACTCGGAAAACTTTGTATCTTCTTTAGTTTCAATGTAATATCGTTTTATGGTTTATGCATTGGTTGCAACTACATATGCACAGATGGAAACATGGAATGCAATATCGAGAGCATTAATACAAATACACTGACATAAAGAATTAAAGACCTCCATTAGTACGTGTTTGTTACTTATGGTTTTGCTTTGTCTTTTAATTTTGTTCGATAATAGCCAACGCAAATAGATGTAGCTTTTAGATAATTACTTTTTTTAAATTTAAAAAAAACCATTAATTCGTGCACACAATACAGAATTTAAAATTTTAAAAAAAACATCGCCATATAAAAGAGTATTCTTTTTATATATGGAGTGTATTTTGGGTAAAAGAAGACCACCTTAGAGGTAGTATTTCTAGTTTTTTTTAATTAAATATAAATGACCAGATTACTATGTGCAATTATTTGTGTTAACAGAAAGGAAGCACATGACCTTATTTAAATTCTTATTCCATAGTTAACATTCCATTCTCACCCTCCCTCTCATGCATGCCCATCTAATTATGAAACTAGGTTTTAACAAAATCTTTCATGCAATCATGGCAAAAACATGTTATGGTCATGGCTCCACCACCCATTGCCCTATTTGAAAGCATGCATGGATATTCCTGCTGAAAGTCTTCAAGGCTTCTATG